AGATAGACAGACAGACAGACAGATAGACAGACAGACAGATAGATAGACAGACAGATAGACAGACAGACAGATAGATAGACAGACAGATAGACAGACAGACAGATAGATAGACAGACAGATAGACAGACAGACAGATAGATAGACAGACAGATAGACAGACAGACAGATAGATAGACAGACAGATAGACAGACAGACAGACAGATAGACAGATAGATAGACAGATAGATAGACATTAAAAGGGATTAAATAAAGTGTCATGCATTTGTAGAAGGTTCTTAAAAATTCTATATTCCAAATTCTAAGTCCAAATTCTATATATATATAGCTAGAATGTGTTGTGTGTTTTTTTTTTTAGAAATTTTAGAATTAATTGTTCTAAATTCAAATGATTTATGTTGGCTCTGCAGATTAGAGAAAGAATACACTACAATCAAAACAAAAGAGATGGAGGAACAGGTGGAAATAAAGGTAAAGAACAATATATTTCAATATCTAATAGTGACCCCACATATATGCAGTCCATGTCTTATAGGTGGCCTGTGTGTGTTGGGGGGGGGGGAATATATATCTGGGGGTCTTTGACTGTGTGGGATTTATCTGTGCAGAGGCTGCGGACCGAGAACAGGCTTTTGAAGCAGAGGATAGACACACTAGAAAAAGTAAGTGTATGACGTTCACGCTGCATCGAACTCAAACCAGTCTCACACTGCTAATCCCAGGGTTACTTACTCGACTCGTCGTGAACATGTGCACTAACCATGCATGTCCTGCTGGATTCCTGTCTTATTAATGGGGCAACCTCGGATAAAAGTTGTCTACGTGCATTGCCGCTGTTTATGTAGCTCATTATTCGTAAACAAAAGCGGACGTTTTTTTTTTTTTTTGCATTCTCTCGTTGACTTTCACCGTGGCCTCGTGAAAGCGCAAACACATTTTGCAAAGGCCTTGAAAGGAAGATCCGATTCTCAAAGAAATATTGGTTGGTTGGATGTAAGGACGAAAAACACGTCATGTTTTCCTTTTACTGTGAAGTGGCACTTCTGCCACTAATGCATGGGATCGCAGGGTTGGCATCCGATTTGCCTGCAGGAACGCACAAATGCTGTAAACTAACAAGAATTCATAGTTTCAAAGCAGCCCAAGACTCTTGCAAGCTAATGCTTTAATTATTTACTAACTGGAAAGAAAAGTTCAGCTTCACTAAAGCCTTTTTCTTTCTTGCTACAGATCTTTCACTGTGTCTTCTTCTGTTTTTATATCACCAGCTTATTTTTCCCTTTTGTTACCACCACACCTGCATGTAAGCTGCTGTTTCCAATACCCTTTCATGCATGACGGTCACTGCAGTGGACAGCTATTAAAATGTCATTTTCTATGAGAAAGAATATGTTTTGATGGCAGTGTTGCATATAAGCCTCTACAGTGGACGCCTGAGAATCACCCAACACTGCCATACAGTGGTCAGCCTTTGCAACTGCAGAATAATGGTGTCAACATTCAAAAAGAAAATTTGGTGTATAAAAACAGAACCAAATCAGTTCTTATTTTTATGTCTAAAAACACTTAGTAACATTTTTTTAACTCAGTATATCATGGGTCATGCATCAAAGGGTTAAATCCAACATCATATTTCACTAGGAAAATCTAAAGATTGCTTTTATTCTGAAAAAATATTTTCGTTTTGTTTGTGCGCAACTGTCCTTCAGTTTTGTACACTCTGCGTGTCCGTCTTTCTCATTCGACCTATTTGTTTTTCTCTTTCTCTCCCTCCCTCTCTCTGTTTTTCTGTGTGTCTGTCTTTGGCGATGTTTGTGTTTTGTAGGAAAGCGCTTCCTTGGCAGATAGATTGATTCAGGTATATTATTTTCTTCATTTTTCTCCGTTCCTACTGTTGCACTTTTGGCTCTTTTTCTTTCCTTCCAAATGTAAACAAACATGAAATCTAGATTAAATGAAAAAAATGGCATCGTTTTAATTTTATCTCCATGTAACACCCCCAGATAATTCTTTGCTTTGATATGCAAAAAATAAAAAAAAAAAAAAAAAAAAAAAATGCATGCAATGCACACAGGGTGGTGACATTGCATGCCTTATTTTCCATCCTCTCCTGAAGATACTTTTTTCTTTCAATGTAGCATGGGTAGTTTTTACCAGTGCTCTAAGAGTAACCTCAACACACCAGACCACTAGATGGCAGTACAAGACAAGACAAGACAGAGAATAATGGAGCATCAAAAGCCTAGTCTAACCGAGGTTTAGGAAAAACCAATATCAAATTCAACCTAGATGTCCCTACTTCCACCCAATGTTAATGCTTCCCGATCTTTTGATTGAATTAAATCCTCTCCAAAAGTTCCCTGTTACTGGGACAATTCCAATGCTGTCAAACAGCAACGCAAGGAGGCTGGTTTTAACAAAATAATTCCCTTTTGACAAAGTAAACCAGTGCATGATGGAGCACTCATTGTCAGATAGTAGTTAAAAATCTTAAATTTTGAACTACTATTTAAAGCCGTTATGAATGAAATGACCACAAAAACTAAACAATTGAAAATAACAATACAGTCTATAGCTTTTTTAAAAAAAAAAACAAAATCTCAAGAGAATCTAATTCTTCACCTTCGGCACTAAATTGTGCCTACTGGTACCCTTCTCTTACGTAACTTCTTCTTCTTCTTCTGCTAACTCCACCATGCTTTATTCGGTTGGTTATACTGAAAGGGACAAGTGACTCGCGCTCAGGAGGCAGAAGAGAACTACCTAGTCAAGCGGGAGCTTGCTACAGTCAAACAGCAGAGCGAGGAGGCCAGTGCTCAGCTGGAGCAGGCCACGAAAACCATTTGGCAGCTCCAGCAGGGACTACAATGGGTAAGGAGGACTCCCCGGGTGTCTTCAAAGTGGCACATTTTAAAGGAGCGAATTGTGAATGGTCTCGGCCGCAAAAAGGGCTGCACGATTATGGCCAAAATGATAATCACGTATCTTTTGTATCAATATTAAATATATATATATAAAATATAATATAAAAATATTTTATATTTTAAACAAACGATATGTGAACGAGGTTTTCAGTACAAAATTCAACCTAACTATAACATAAAATATATCAATTCTGTAGCAAGTGGGTTAACCCTTGACACACACACGCTGTTACAGATGATAGTTCAACCGACTTTGTTTTCAATAGTCCCAAGTGCTCCTGCGCACTTACTCTACATCGGTAGAAGAATGTTAGCGATGGAGCTACCAGGTAGGAGAAAGAGAGGAGATATATGGATGTAGTGAGGGAGGACATGCAGATAGTTGGAGTCAGAGTAGAAGACGCAGAGAACAACCCTTGAAAAAAAAGGGACAAAGCCGAAAGAAAAAGAAGTCCCAAGTGCTGTCGTGGTTCCGTTTGTACGTTGCGCCAACACGCACTACTCTGTCCGCTCCCCCTTCTCGGGACCCTGCTCCTACTAATATAGGGCGAGGCTTAATTACTCGAATTACGCTCACCTGTATGCGGGGCTGCACCTGTGTCGCCAATCCCGTGTTCTCCCTGCAGCTGAGCGCTAACCTCCGCAGCGCCCCCTCCCCCCCACAGACTCATTTAACCAAGACAAAACATTAATATAGAAAATAAATATGCCGCAAATATACTATTTGCGAGAAAGCACAGCAAAACCTCGGTGCGGAGTTGCCATTACAGTTGTCAGGACACAGACAGGGATTTAGTGGACCAGTGTTAGCTTTAGCCTTCCCGCATTTAACGTACGTATTTGAACCTCCAGGCAATATATGTTGACCCTTTATGAAGTACTAGCGTTTCCTAGTGTTTCGCTGGTTGGTCGGTTGTTCAGTACTAGTACGTAAATCGTTGTTTATATGTAGAGATGTTTTTTTTTTTTTCTGCCAAATTTAAACGTTATTTCACTGTCCTTTCTTGATTACATATCTTCATCATTTATTTCTGGTAAGGTTTTTCTATTTCTTGATTTTTTTTTATTTCTGAGGTGAGACATAGACACAAAAAAAAAGCGAGGAGGTTGAGGTTGCCCTTTAAGTTTTGGCGACTGGGGGTTTTCAATGTCTTTCAATGTGTATTTGTTGGGAAATAGCACTTAGCACACTAATATTTCAATTTTATTTTGACTATGTATGTATGAGATCTATGTTATGTATGTGCAATCAATTCGAGTGTATTGATGTACTACGAAATATACAAAATCAAGGTTAAAGGCCGTTTCTTAAAACTGCTAGAAGAAAGAAAGAAGAAGAAAACGTTACGTGTTCGTACGCACAAATGTTCAAAAAAATACATTTAAAATATATAAATATCAAAATCTGGTCAAAAATAGAGAAAAATTACGAAAACACTAAAAAGATTTGGGAATTATTCAAAGTTCACCGCAACAAGGTGGCGATGTACCATGAAAGCGATAATGTCAATGCATAATCATAAGCTTTTGCCTAAAACGTGTCAGGATGACAACACGTACTGTTAAGGATTAAGACAAAAAGTGTCGTTAAAGGGCTGAATGTGGTTGCTGAAACTGAAAAACCTCGGGGAAATAAATGTGTAAATACTGTATTTTCACGGCTGTCGTTGTGAAAATAACAACCATGTGAAATTATATATTAGATATATATATCAGGTCGCTAGAGCAGTTGTATTTCCGAGTACAAATATTTGAATATTTGTACAGGGACCCAACACTGAGACTGGTAGGTATCACTGGATTTATAACAGACAAATTGTGTTATTACTTTCAATGTACAAGCAAATTGGTTTTAGGTCAACTGAATGGTCCATTCATTTAGATTAAGTTTTTTTTGTTGTTTAATGTGTATTAGGTAGGGGTGAGCCATCTATGGCACCTCACCATTCCAAAAGGATTCAGGGTTCATTATTATCATGATTTTACGATTGTAATGATGGTCTCCATGACCGCCACCCAAATCACCGTACCAACCACCCCCCAAACGTTCCATGTATATGTACTGTATATACATACACATATATACAGTATATGTATATATATATATATATGTATGTATATATGTATCTATATATATGTATGTATATATGTGTATGTATGTATGTATGTATATATGTATGTATATATGTATGTATATATGTATCTATATATATGTATGTATATATGTGTATGTATGTATGTATGTATATATGTATGTATATATGTATGTATTTATATATGTATGTATATATGTATCTATATATATGTATGTATATATATATGTATATATGTATGTATATATATATGTATGTATATATGTATGTATATATATATGTATATGTATATATATAATGTACGTATATATGTATATATGTATGTATATATGTATGTATTTATATATGTATGTATATATGTATCTATATATATGTATGTATATATATATGTATATATGTATATATATCTATATATCTATATATATGTATATGTATATATATAATGTACGTATATATGTATATATGTATGTAACAGCAGAAGTTGTTTCGCCGTTGCGTACTAGTACTACAGCTCTGATCTACAAGGCAGGACTAAATGAGTTCATGAACATTTAGGTTAACAACTGGCATGCCTATTTGAAGTAAAATCAATAAAAATCCACAAGAATCTTATTAAGGTGAATCAGTTCAGATTAGAAGTGGGACAGAGCTGTCTAATCTGTCATCGGTTTGATGTGAAACTGAGTTCATGGCTCCTCAGTTGTAAAATTTGTTTTCCCTGAACTGTCCCTTTGAACTATGTGTTTACAGGACACACACTCCGTTACTTACTCACCTGTGTTGTTGGTTATAGAAAAAAGCCCCTCGCTACTCAGAGGAGTCTGTATTGCAACTGGAACAAGAGCTTGTGCAAGCCCGTTTGAAGGAAGCAGAGTCTCAGTGTGCACTCAAAGAGATGCAAGACAAGATCCTGGAAATTGAAAAGGTGAGTTATCTTGGCATCTTCTGCAATAATCATAAACTGCTGCCAGTCAAAATGATTCAACACTAATCGCAACGCTTGCAAATGTGTACAAACACCGCAAAAGGCTCTGAATGATTATTGCTGTCTCAAAAATATTTATCACCTTAACCAGCATTTTTATTATCAATCAAGGAGTAGCTTTGCATCTGTCCTCTGCTGAAAATGTCATGTATGCTCGGAGCTCAGGTTCCGTCATCATTCCTAAGGAATTCTTGTGAACTCTTTTTCTGTAGGCAAGCTTTGGTGGTCTTTTGAGTTATCCATAGGGGCACTGTCCTGAAATGATCAGGGTCTTGCCGTCAGGTTTTCAGTGCCACTGAAATACCTCATAGTACTTGCGGGTGGTCCACTGGAAGGTACCAACCGCCCTAACCGGGATTCGATCTTGCCCAGGAGGTGAACCCTGGGGTTCCACACCAATGACAGAGACATTACCTCTGGGTCAAAGTGCCATTAAAACATATTCCATACATAGTTAGTTGTATTGGTGTCTAAACTGTGCGTGTCTGACAGTGATCTTTCTTACAATTCGATCAATTTCAAACCTGTGTGTACCTTTTCTCGATAACAGAGGAACACTTCACTACCAGATGAAACCAATGTGGCCCGACTACAGGAGGAGTTAATTGGGGTCAAACTGAGGGAAGCCGAGGCGGTGACAGGTCTGAAGGAGTTGAGACAGCAGGTCAGAGACCTGGAGGAGCACTGGCAGGTGTGTTGAAACAAGTAACAACTACCTACGTCTTTAAACTCTAATCTTCACAATACTCAAATCATTCGCTCAAGTTGGCCATAAAACTTCATTTTGCACATGTAGCTATAGAATGTTTCACAGTATTTTCCTGACAAGGTGGGGGACGCGGGGTTTCCTCTCTGGGTTCTTACAAAACCTTGTTGATTTAAACAAAACTTCACAAAGAAGGCCTTGGCAAGTGATGCTAAATTGTTAGCTCTCTCCTTAGCGTCACTTGGCACGTACAGCTGGCCGTTGGAAGGATGCCCCAAAGAAGAATGCACTCAGCGAGCTGCAAGACGAACTGATGAGCGTAAGGCTGCGCGATGCCGAGGCCCAGGCTGAGCTTCGGGAAACACGGCAGAGGATTCTGGAGTTAGAAACACAGGTCAGTCTTTGAACAACCCATCTGAAAGCAGTTATCAGAAGGTGAAAGAAGTGTATATATATATTGAGTATGATTAATCATACTCTGAATGTTAAATGGTATCTAAATTACAGTAAAGGATTTGACACTTTCAGTGCCTTTTCACAAAATCCATTATAAGGTACTACATTCATTCACATTTAGATAAGTGGATCCGTTTTTTTTTCTGCATGTTATTTAAATATTTGTCATAAAGTTCATAAAGTCACAAATTCAATTTGGGCTACTCAAACAAAACATAATATTCAGTATATTTATATATACACGTATACATACAGTATATGTATATGTTGTCTCTGATTTGGTGAAATACCGCCATCTAGTGGCTGCGTTTAGGTAGCGTTTTAAGTAGTGTAACCACTTTTGAGTTTAATTAGTGTGCGGATGTTAGAACACGCTAGAAGAAATGTAAGTTTATTTTGCAGCTACGTTTAATTGCATATATATATTACATATATTTACTTACCTCGAGGTCCTGTTTTGTTGCGGGCAGTTCTGTTTGTTGTGTTTTAATCGTACATTTGACGAAGTTTGTAAACTGTTTGGTAGCAGGCGATCTTAGAATTATGTTTACATATGACCCTACTACTTTTTTTTTTTTTTACTTTGATTATGCGATTTGATTATCGCAATATATTGATTAGTTTCGTTAATTTATTTGAATGTATGGAATAATATGAGCGCTGTATATTGATACATTTGTGCATATATTTCATTTGATTATCGCAATATAGAGAGGGAATACTCTCTCTCTCTCTCTCTGTGTATATATGTGTGTGTATATATATGTGTATATATGTATGTATATATGTATATGTGTATATATTTATGTATATATGTCTGTATATAAGTATGTATATAAATATATTTGTATGTATATAATAAATACATATGTATGTATATATGTATGTACATCTGTATATATATGTATATATGTATGTACATATGTATATATATGTATATATGTATGTACATATGTATATATATGTATATATGTCTGTATATAAATACATATGTATGTATATATATATATATTACATTATCGTAATGTTTCCCTCAGAAAATATTATGCCAGAGCACATCTCAACGACGACGACTTGAGTGACACAAATTAAAACAGTGTCTCCCACAGAGTCCACCCATAGTGATACGCGTTGCACATAAAGTGGCACCATTATGCCTGGATAAGCTCAGCTTCACCCGTTTCTAAAAACTTTTGAAATGCAGAAAAAAAAAAAAAAAAGTAAAACACTTAATAAATATTACACATGCTTTAACAGAACCAGTCCCGCAGCAGCCAGCTGCGTCGTGCAGAGCAGGAAAGATGCAGACTTGAGAAGAGTGTGCAAACACTGACAGACCTAAACAGAGAACAGCATGTTCAGCTGCAGGAGATCAAAAGAAAGCAAGCAGAAATCGAATGCAAGGTTAGTACACATGACGCTGACTTTTCCCTTACAGGCTTGTTACACTGAGAAAAACCTGTCGCCTTTAATGCTTTAGTGCTACAAGTAATTAACAATTTCCTGAAACAAAGGGTACAGTCCATTCGTGAATCGTAGGCGAGTGTGCATGTGCATGCGGAGGGAGGGAGCGCAGTCTGTTTATGAATCACAGGTTCTCTTTCACCAGACAAAAAGCCATGTGCCTGCGTAGAGGTTTTTACATAGAAGTGGTCCAAAATTGACCGGAAAGAATCATTTGAAGATGGTAAGTAGGAGGCCCTCGTTCATTAGAAAAAAAAAAACAAGTACTCTTTTGGGCGTTACCTGAGCACTGCTAAACCTGGTGTTTGGTGATCATCCTGGTTTGCATATCACATGTAATACATGTGATACGTGTATTTAATAATTTCCAACATTTCTCCAAACCTTAGGAAACAAAGCGTTTGATTGTCACACGCCAAGTATAAAGGGGCTTTTTCACATGCAAAGCGCAAAGGGGCTTTTTCGGTACCGAAGTGCGACATTCTGCAGAGGATGTTAATGATGATGATGCTACTGCTTTTCTTTGAAACTCTTCTACCCTGTCTAGAAACTGAAGAAATGAAGGTTTCACAGCTACCATTGTGGAAAAATACACAACCACGGCTGCTTAGAATATCTGAACAATATCTAAGTGGGTGTATATATTTGGCATTATGCTCATTGTGACCTGTTGCTGCCATTCTTTTTGAGCCATGAAACTATCACAATTTCCAGCGGTTGCCAAATGTTTTCTGCTGGGCACATTTTGTTTTTTTGTTTTTTTCATTCATTTTAAATGGTTTTCTGCTGGGCACATTTTGTTTTTTGTTTTTTTTTCATTCATTTTAAATGTACTAACTGTAATGTAAACGCACCTTAAACATGTTCGTTTGATGCTAGCATTGTCAACTTTGGTTAACTGGCAGGACTGAGATTTCGTGTGTGTGGGGAGGGGTGGGGGTTGAACTGCTCGGGGCTGTTACTGCTGCTCCGAGCAGATTCAACGGGAGACTGCAAAAACAAGAGCAGGGATTCAAAATAACGGCCTCCTTTATAATAATAGAGAGATAGATAGAGAGAGAGAGAGAGAGAGAGATAAATAGATAGATAGATAAATAGAGAGATAGATAGATAGAGAGAGAGATAGATAGATAGAGAGATAGATAGATAGATAGAGAGAGAGAAATAGAGAGAGAGAGATAGATAGACAGATAGAGATATAGAGAGAGATAGAGAGATATAGAGAGAGATAGAGAGAGAGAGAGAGAGATAAATAGAGAGATAGATAAATAGAGAGATAGAGAGAGATAGATAGATAGATAAATAGAGAGAGAGAGAGAGATAGATAGATATATTTATAATATATAATATTTGTGTATAATATAATATAATATATATATTTAAGCCCCATGTGACAAACTGTGTTTTGTAAATGTGGGCTATATAAATAAAATTTGATTTGATTTGATTTACAGATTTGGATAATATGCTGCGTAATGTTTTTTTTTTTTCAATAATTCCTTCCTTCCTCTGCCCTATAGCAAAAAAGTGTGAGGTTATCCTGTAACTGCTTGAATCTTTCGCGTGTGTTTTGTTGTTGTTGCTGATGTTTTTTTTTTTTGTACTTGCAGAGTAAAGAGGAGGTGATGGCTGTTAGACTAAGGGAAGCTGACAACATCGCTGCTATGGCTGAACTTCAGCAACAGATATCAGAGCTGGAAATTGAGGTGAGATTTTGAGACACTTCGAAGCCACAAAACTAGACACTGCCAGGGGGAAGTAGCTTGACTTTGCACTTAACCAGAGCAATGCATGTAGATTATATGATAACGGGTTTAGTTTGACTTTGGTGTCACTTGACTTTTGTCCTTGTTTGCGTATATACAAGCAAGGCAGGGGAATTGACTGTTCTCCAAAAAAAAATTTTATACATGTCCTCTAGAATTGGTGGTTATATGGCTCCTTTTAGGCTGTTAATATTAGCGTGTGACATTGGCTTGTTTCAAAAGTAAATCTCAGCATCTCATGTGTATTTATTTTTTTTAGTGTTTTTTTTTTTTTTTCGGTCTAATCATGGAAGACAATCGGTGCCGTCATTCAAATTTAAATGCATAAACAGAAATGCTTTTTTTCATTTTCAGTATATACCTGCATTATTTTTTTTACTCATAAATAGAAATAATAATTTAAAAAAAATCATCCAAACTGTATTTTCATTTTCATCTTCAAGACTGCTAATTCTATAGCACAACCGAAAAGAAAACAAATAGGACAAATAGGTTTTTTGTTTTCGTGTCCAACCCCTCAAAAAAATAATAATCAATAATATATATCAATAATAATATAATAATTATAATATAATCTACATAATGCAGTCTTGTAGGAGACGTTGCTGTGCATGTTTGACTACAGGGCATTTGTGTTTTTTTGTGGGTTTTTTTTGCACTTCATTTAGTTACTTTTTTCATCACCTCAATCTGTATGAAGTAGTTTTCTTAAGATCAAGGAAAGATCTATATATATATATATTTTTTACGGATTATAAATCACACTCTTTTTTTTCATCCTTTGGCTGGGTTTGCGACTTAACGTAATTTGACATGTTCGTTATGTTCACACTGACAGCCGCTAGAGGGTGCTCTAGCTGGCTGGTACCACATACCCTGGAGTGACTTTTATCTTCTTCATTATGCATTATTTGGCTGGTGCAACTTGTGAAATTGTTCAAACCTTTTTCTAAACATGTGTTTGCGTAAGCATTGATCACTTCACACTGCATTATACGTGCACACTCTGGCAGAGACGAACATTATTAGTATTCATTTATAACTGAACAATGACTCCATTTTGTTTGTTGACAACAGATACGGAAAACTTGACATCTCAAAAAATCTTTGTTTGAATTTCTGTCAAGTATAATGCTATGTATTTCGCCAGATTTAAAAAAAAAAAAAAAACATGTGCATTGAGCTTATTCTATAAATAAATGCTGAGAACTATTATAAACACAACTCACAACCCATTCACGAAGCAACAGTTAACATGGGGATAGGAAAAAAGACAAAATAGCTGAAGCACAGTTCTGCGGCATATTTGGTCTGGGCCTAAATAAAGTACGAGTTCACTCCACAAACTGAACTTCGTTCAAGTGAGGTAGTGGTGAAATGTTGGTGGTGCAAGTTTTTGTTCTGAGGCACAAAACCTCAGACCACACTCTGTGGTGGTGTTTCATTGTAGAGGCGAGGAAGGGGAGGCGAAGGAAGGGGCTGTCATACTTAGAGCGCTAAGAGCCGACTTGAGAGGATATTGACACGTGCTTTACCATAAAAAGATGCAAGAAGTAGTTGTCAGTCGATAGCATGTGATGTGAGCGTCAGGTTTTTTTTTAAAAAAAAAGAAAGAAAGAAATGAACACATTCATGACAGAAACATTGACTAAGTCACGTAGAGCCTTTTGTCCCAATTCAAATTTTTAAAGTTTTATTTGTATAAAAGTAAAAACAAATACTGTACGTACCCTGTATTGTAAGTCTTTACTGTTTTTTGTAAACAGTTTTTTTTTTTTTTTTTTACGTTTTTTTTTAAGTGATGTTGCCGAAACTTGCCAGTTGCCATATTAAGTTTGGTCAGATTTGCAGGAACAAATCGAACATTCAGTGTGTTATATATTACATTATATGTATATATATGTTTAATGAAATACATAGTTATTATGAACACACAATTTTCAAATATCAAATATAAATAATAACCTGCACGTGTGCATAGGTCCTCATTAGACATAGAGTGTTTATAAAAAAGTTAAACATTGTTAAAAAATTATAAAAAAATAATTTAATTTAATTTAATTCATTATTAACAATAATAAAAAAATAATGTTTATGTAACAATAGTAAAATATAAGTATTTTCTTATTAAAACAATTATATATGTTTTTGTATAAAATAGATGTACTTTCTAATAAAATTATAAAATTGATTTTATATGTTTATTATTGAAACAACAAACTGGCAAGAAGTCTGCAATACGACTTTATTTGCTATACAGACTTGTTTCTAACAAAACAAAACAAATCTTTGCAATGTACAAAAAGAAAAAAAAAAAAGGTGACACGAAAATTCTAAGATTTATGCTACCTCAGTTTTGACATCAAAGTAATATGACACGCTGGAATTTAGTAAGAAATTGTCACAACATCACTAAACCAGATAAACAGTGCAGAGAAATGATCGCAGATTCTGTGACTGAAACTAAAGTTCCACATGCAAGTGTACGATCCCAGAGCAGCAAGGTTTGTGCGCTTGCAGGAAGTGGTTTCTCATCTTGAAGTAGAGCCTCTACCAAAGGTGACATGCATGATTTTAATTTGAGGTTTTCATAATACACAGAGATTTATAGTAAAGGTCGTCGGTATATAAAAAAAAAAAAATCCTCCCCACCACACTGCGTTTCTGTGATCTGAGTATCATCTCATGAAAAACTAGACTGATTGTACTGATTTGAATGTCAGTTAGGGGAAATATTTTATATATATCTATCTGCGAAAAAAAAAAAAAAGGCAGTTTATATATGAGTATATATTCTCCAAGTTGTAGTATATATGGTCTTTAGTTCTCTCTCTCTCCCTCCCGACCTAGTATATATGGTCTTTAGTTCTCTCTCCCTCCCGACGTTTCATACGCCTATGGTGTTTTGGTTCTGTCCTTTCAGTTTGATTTATTAGGCGTTCATTTTGTTGCTGATTGATTGAGCGGCGTGAATGGCACAAATTATCAGGCTCACTTTAGTCAGGCTAGCTGTCGTAGCTCGTCTATTCGCAGCGGGTACGGAAAGTATTCAGACCCCTTTGAATTTGTCACTCTTTTCATTGCGGCCATTTGCTAAAATCCAAAAAAAAGTTCATTTTATTTCTCATGAATGTACACTCGGCACCCCATCTTGACAGGAAAAAAAAAGCCAGAAATGTAGCAATTTTTGCAAATTTTTTAAAAAAAAAAAACAAATGTAGCAATTTTTGCAAATTTTTTTTAAAAAAAGAAAAACTGAAATATTACATAGATCTTGTCTCCATGCCTCTGTTTGCCTCTGGCTTAACAGCTGGATCAGGTCTTTGTGTTAACATTTTCTCTGCCGTCAGTTTACCTGCGCTTTACCTGTTTGGGTTTTTTTTTTTTGGTTTGTTTGTTTGTTTGTTTTTTAACTGTTCAGGAATGGAGAAAACGTGAGCTTTTAGTCGAGCTTCAAAAGTTTCAATGTATATGTTTGTATAATATCATTTAATGTCACATTGTAGTAAACAAAATGCTATCGGGTTTGAAAGGTTAATATTTAGACGAGTGAACAGTTTGGAACAGTCTCACTGTCTGTCTGTGCCGTGTTGTTCCAGATGTCAACATACTTCTAGTGCCTCAGGTGTTTACATAATATAGACACATACTGGTAAAGTAAACGGCTGATTATTGCAAAAAAAAAAAATGGAGCTATCCCGGGCAAGGGGTGGTCGGGGAGGGCTTTATAATTACCCACTTTTCTCTGTTTTCGAAGACACTCCCGGGGCGTAACTGTGGATCAAAATCCAATCCAAGTCAATTTTGCTTTATACGTTTCCTTTAGAGTTAGCTTAGCTCAAATCGTTAAAAAGCCGAAAACATGCCTATGGATCGTATTTAACAGTGGTTGCAAATGCCTGTTTTAAAAAAAAAAATCTGAAAAGAAAGGAAATAGGTTTCGTACCCCAGATGTTTGCTGGTCTTCGTGGTAAACATCGTGAAGGCAGTTAAACTGTTAAAGCCTCAGCCCCCTGGGCCTTAGAAGGGGCTGATTATTGCAAAGAAACACCAATATAGTTTTTTTTTTTTTTTCAGACATCTGTCATTTCTCCAGTTATGTGTCGTCCTGTTAGTAAAGCAGCGTCGAGTCAAAGTTATTTTTAATTCTTTTGCTTTACATTTCTGTCCACTGAAATTTAATTCTGACAAATCTAGTGAAAAAACACACACACACACTGAGCAAGCATCAACGGGGGAGGGTGATTTTTTTTTTAACAAGACTCTCGGCTCTCTACTTCAGTGGGGTTTGATGACAGCAGAGGAAAAGGTGAGGAACCGAGGAAGAGAGAGAGAGCAGATAAATGACAATAAAATAGTATTTTATTCAGCTGTTATTTTGCCAAAAAAGCTAAGTCGTTCAAATGACTTTTTAAGTAATGTTTTAGTAATGTTGGATGACAACAGCCTCCAAAATCCATGTTGACAGCCGGTTCCAAAGGTTAGCAAGATTGCTTAAAGTTGGTACAGTAATGTAGGATAATTAATATATGATGGAACGGGATGAAGTAAGGAAAGTCCCGATGACATACCAGTGGAAGTATGGAAGTGCTTAGGGGAAGTGGCGGTAGATTTCCTGATTGGGTTGTTCAACAGAATTTTAAAGACAGACACGGTGCTTCATGCCTAGGAAGAGTACCACAGATGCAATATTTGCCTTGAGGATGTTGATGGAGAAGTACAGGGAAGGTCAGAAGGAGCTGCATTGTGTATTTGTAGATCTAGAAAAGGCATATGACAAAGTGCCAAGGGAGGAATTGTGGTTTTGTATGAGGAAGTCAGGAGTGGCAGAGAAGTATGTTAGTTTGGTGCAGGACATGTATGAGAATAGTACAACAGTAGTGAGGTGCGCTGTTGGGAGGACAGAAGACTTCAAAGTGGAGGTGGGACTACATCAAGGATCGGCCCTGAGCCCCTTCTTGTTTGCTGTGGTGATGGACAGATTGACAGATGAGGTCAGACAGGAGTCCCCATGGACTATGATGTTTGCAGATGACATTGTGATCTGTAGTGAGAGTAGGCAGCAGCTAGAAGAGAACCTAGAGAGGTGGAGGTTTGCACTAGAAAGAAGAGGAATGAAGGTCAGTCGCAGCAAGACAGAGTACATGTGTGTAAACGAAAGGCAGAACAGTGAAATAGTGAGGCTACAAGGAGCAGAGGTGGTGAAGGTGCAGGAGTTTAGGTACTTAGGATCAACTGTTCAGAGCAGCGGAGACTGTGGAAGAGAGGTGAAGAATAGAGTACAGGCAGGATGGAACAGCTGGAGAAAAGTGTCAGGAGTGATCTGTGACAGAAGAGTGTCGGCTAAGGTGAAGGGAAAGGTTTACAGGACAGTGGTGAGACCAGCCATGATGTATGGTTTAGAGCAGGCGTGGGCAAACGTTTTGATTCGCGGGCCACAGGTGGTCCTAAAATTGAACAGGGGGGTTGGGGGGGAGCCGGGTCAGGAGCAGACAGACAGATAGATAGATTACATGTAAAACTCATGCATAAAGGATAATCAGCTAAAATGCTTTTATCATTTTCTACGCCATCTATTGGGGAAACATGGGTATTGCAGGGAAAAGGCAGAAGTGTTTGGCGGGCCGGATTAAAAAACCGAACGGGCCGCAGCCGGCCCCCGGGCCTCAGTTTGCCCATGCCTGGTTTAGAGACAGTAGCAATAGGCAGAAGACAGGAGGCGGAGCTGGAGGTGGCAGAGTTAAAGATGCTAAGATTGTCTTCAGGAGTGACAAGGATGGACAGGATCAGGAATGAGGTCATGATTTTGATGGCATAATGACAGATGCCATTTTGAATGCAATAAAGGCATGAACTCATTTTTTACTAGTTATTAAGCTGGAGGTCAGAGCAAAGTCATCACATTAATTAAACAATCAACGTTTATATGTTGGAAGTTAAGCACCTCTTAGAAGTTTAAGGCGTTTAGAGCAGTGTTTCCCTAACTTTTTTTTCTGGGGACCCATATTTTAAAAGTCGCAAACCTTCGCGACCCAAGTCAATAGACATTGTTCTGTTTAACTCCTGGGAATCATGCGAGATGCGAGACGACCCAAAACAAAAAAAAAAAATCTCTTGTGACCCACCTGACGGTCGTGACCCAGTCTTTGGGAAACACTGGTTTAGAGCAGTAATAGATGCAGGAGAAAAAGTTGAATTTGCTTGAATTAAAAAATGGTTTCAAATACTTTGAAATCCTGAATGCACAGAAAGAAGAAGGGAAGGTCCAAGGCCATCTGAACAACACAGACTCCAGCCAGTACATCAACGACCTCAAAGACCAGATAGCCGAGCTAACACATGAGGTGAGTGTCATTAAAATATATATATGTAGCATCTCCATTTCTAATCACACTAAAGACAAAATTGTGGTTTTGATTTTTTTTTTTGTGTGTGTGTGTGTGTGTATGTGTGTGTTTTGTATTTGATTAAGCCCTTGCTTTGAAGCCAACAGACTAGTTGAAGTGTTAACTACACCCAGGGACTTCCTGTGTGGCTGATGCTGCACGCCCGGTGACAGCGCTCAGTTGTAGGTGATGAATCACAAAAAAAAAGTGGTTATCACAACAAAAGAAAAGTGACTGTGTTTTCCACCTCGTACTAATTATTTAAAATTAGTACGAGATTTTAATCTGTAAAATGTAGTAGTAGATGTAGTAAAAAAAAAAAAAAAAAAAAAAAAGGTCTTGTAGTGTAATTTGAATTTTTGTAATTTCATTTTGCTAATTTAGTAGCGAAGCCTAGCTCCTTTAATCCTTTGTTTTTTTTTCCGTCACATCTTTACCCTCTCTCACAAAGTAACCCGTGATTTGGCAACTTTATTTTTTTTTACAGTGATTAAATCCAATATTTGATATTGGAGGTAAAATAACACATTTGGACCATGCAGCAGTGGATGGCAATAGAAGTGCAGTTGTTTTACCCCTAAATGGTTTTGGGTTTGACTCCAGGCTCAGTAAGTTCTTCATGTCACTCCCAGACCTGCAGTGTTATGTACTTTAGGTAGTTAACAGGACTGGAAACTGTATACAGAAAGTGCAGCCAATTTACTATTTATCCCATTGAGGTTAGCTTGAATTAGTGATTGGTCTTTTCTCCAGGTTCATTATTTGTCAATCTAAAGTTGAACGTGTTTTTTTTTACATGCTCATCCTTCTTCCTTCTATAGATTTGCTGCCTAAAAGGAAAGAGAGTTCTGACCAATCAGCCTCTTTTTGATGGTATACACATTGTAAACCACTACACAAAGGATGACGAGTCTTACCAGTCATTTGATGATGATGACGACGACGACGATGATGATGACGATGGCGGCCCTAAGGCACAAGGGCCACCGAAGACTCAGTTGGGCGGACGAATCAGACTTTGCCCTAACCTCAGGGATACCGACAGTGATGACGACGAGAAGGAAGGAGAGAACACAGAAGCTCGGTGCAAGTCCCTGCCTCAGAGCAGCTGCCACAAGACCACTGCTGTGTGACAATGGGGAAATGACCCCCATCTCTATGTGGATATGGAACTTGGAAGAAGAAAAAAAAAAAAGGAAATAAATCAAATCAACATTTCTTATGATGAGAACAACGGAGGAACCAGTAGCTTTACTGTTTACGAGGCCAGGGAATGTATCATGAGACAATATTGGTACACGGCAGTGAGGACTGTGCAATAAAACTCAGGCATGTAATTCTTTCATTCAATTTCTTTAACTGTGTGTTTCAACATGTAAAAAAAAATTAGAGGGAAACCTCACATGAAAACCTTGGTTTCTCAAAGTCGAAATTTCCTTTTGTTAATCCCTGCAGTGATTTGCACCATTAGGACAGTTACTACATGCTTCAATTTTTTTTTTTTTTTTTTTTGCGCAAATGTCAATGGTTTGATCAGTGGTATTATTAAAACATAGACTTTGATTTACATCATCTTTTAATGGTGCTATCTTCAAAGGGTGGTACTAGTTGCCGACATCATCATCATCATCATCAGTTAATTTAGTCCAGTCTAAAGTTACATAAGATTGTACTGTCTGCACAACCAATGAGATTACAGTGAGAGTACCAATGAGAGTACTGTGCACTGTCCAACGTAATATGATAATGCCATCCCAAAGATTCATTAGTGTTGAAAGATGTGCCTCATTATCACCGTTTTTTTTTTTTTTGTTTGTTTGTTTTTTTTCAGAATATAACAATGATTGGAAATGCACATTTTTTTTTTTTTTTTTTTTAAGAATATAACGAATGATTGGAAATGCACGCTTGATTTGTTTTGAAATACACTTTGGATTTGGTTGGGAGGGTACGAGCTAACAGTAGCGTTACACAACGTAAACACTAAGTGACACTGGTCATGTGCTGCATATCGTTGTCACTCACGCAGCTACTCTTCGTCAATGTATTTCTCTAAATAAAAATGCCACACTAAAATTGAGATTAAAAAAAAAATGACGCTCCGCTAATATGTGCAGCCCACTGTACAGAGATACTCAAACTCATAGAGTCCCGGTATCAGTGCTTTGTGTTTTTGCCCGTGTTGACTTGTGGGTAATGATGACAACTTTACTCAACTTAGTGTATACTGTTTGCTTTTCACATACCGTATTTTCCGGACTATTAGCCACAACTTTTCTTCAGCCTTTTGCTGGGTTTGCGACTTATACACAGGTGTGACATATATTAAAATATATATATATATATGTGTATATATATATATATATTCATATGTGTGTTATTTTTACATTGACAACCACTAGAGGACACTCTACCAGTATCCGCTACTCCTGTACCGCTGAAAAATGTACATGTTCATTATTTTCAAACTGACAGCCACAAGAGGGCACTCTAGGCTTGTGTATTAGTATCTGCTACTCCTGTAAGTCGCACTTTTTTTTTTTATTCTTCCGCTGGTGCGATCTTACTAAGGAGCGAGTTGTATATGTTTTTGTTTTGTTTTTTTTTCTTCTTCATTACGCATTTTTTGGCTGGTGTGATTTTTTTTTTTTTTTCTTCTCCAGAGCAACTTATACTCCAGAAAATACGGTATATCACAAGCTCCAAGTGATGGCTGTGTATTTGTTGGTATTGAGTTTTTTTTTTTTTAATTCCTAAAGTAGAGCTACAGGTCTAGTTAATAATTAATTCTCTGAAATTAATTATCGAATACGTTGGTAAAACTGCAGTAGCTGTGACCACTACTCTAATATTGTTACTTTCCACTACTCCAAACAGGTAAGCATAATCTAGCGCAGGCTTTTTTTTTTTTTTTTTCTAGCATATGCTGTCCGATTTGTTATTAAAGACGGCTAGTGCAGATTGTCCCCCATGTAATGTAGGATCCAATATGGGTTTTAAAGACGGCTAGTGCAGATTGTCCCCGATGTAATGTAGGATCCAATATGGGCTCAATCCGATACTCAAAATTTCAAGATGGAATATAAAACAAAAACAAATGTAGCCTATCCGATCAAATACCTATGCTCAACATATTTGTGCGACATGCCGTTAACGATAACACTATCACCTCAGCAACAGCAGCCTGACGGAGGAGAAAGGAAGGTATGGGATTGATATCGATATCAACAGATACTCCAGGCTGCAGTAATCGGGGCACGAAAAAGTTGTACGGAGCCACCCTTTACTTTCTCAAGGAACTCTCTAGTATCATTATAACATTGTTGCATCACATGTAAAACGATGATTTTAGTCACATGTGATGGTAAGGAATGCTCATCCACATGTAAGGATCCGAATCCGGATAAGGCACCGCGGTGTAAATTTAATGTCCCGTTTGACACTACACTCTTGCCTAGAGACAATCGGACTTGGGTAGAGTTTGTAATTATGCGTTTTCCGGTCTACTTTTATAAACAAATCTGTATTTTGATAGGATGGAAAAATCTTTTGACCTGTGCTGTTTTAAGGTGCGCTCTGTAAGATTTAGTTTATGTGTTTCTATCAGAAAGGTATTAAATATTTTTCCAGAAAATTGATGTGTACAATTATTTGAAAGGGTTCACTTGAGGTTATTATTACCCCAGTATTGACCTACATCTTGTACAAGGCTTCAGAATCACCTTTATTTAGATGCGTGTGTTTTCAAATGATGGAATACTTTCCTATGTTTTCATATACTACTTGGCAGGAATGACCAGGTGAGGAGGACATCTTCCAAATTCACAAGTAGATGAGGGTTAATCATACACATTACAGTTGCATGTGCACAGCAACTTTGTGTAGCAGGAGTTGATGTCCGATAGACTCAAAGTTATTCAGTGTGATTATGCATTTGTGTGACTGAAAGTGATGAGTCCTTGATTTAAAAAGGTGACTGAAAGTGATGAGTCCTTGATTAAAATAAATAAATAAATAAACAAATGGCAAATGACTGTTGACTCTAATTTACTTCAAATGGTATTAGTTTAATAATAGATCTGATTTGATCTAGTGGCGCTTTGGCCCAGAGGCAATGTCATTGGTGTGGAACCCCAGGGTTCACTTCCTGGGCAAGTTCGAATCCCGGTTAGGGCAGTTGGTACCTTCCAGTGGACTCACCACCCGCAGGAAGGTTCGGGGCGGTTCGTACGTTGCAGTGTGATTTGGGTGGCGACTGCTGCCCCCGTGACCCGGTAACGGATAAGTGGATGAAAATGGATGGATGGATTTGATCAAACTTTTTTTTCTCATTATATACTGCGGGTTTAAGTTTTATTGACCAATCTTTAGGGTCTTTGACAGGGTGGGGGTGATAGGGCTGTCTGTGTTTCCTTCCCTGTCTTGTCTGCTATGTAGAGTTAGCGTGATCACACTCACCTGTTTCGTCATTAGTCCTACTCATGTCACCTGGTGCCCTGGGTATATATATATATATACCTCCCTCCCTCACTCTTGTCTTCGTTGCGTTCCTAGTTCATCATGTTTCAAGAAGTCCATGCCTTGTTTCTTCCTTGTCCGGTTTTTGTTCATTCGCACTTCGTTAATAGAACCTGCTACATCTGAAAAGAGTCTCTTTTGGGTCCAACCTGCTTCCTACGAGGCCCGAACGTAACAGAATGATCCAACCGGAACTGGACCCAGCATACTGGGAGTAATCTCAGCGGTTACTGTTTTCTCCACCCTCCCTGCCCCTACTGCGGGACGTCAGGAGTCGTCCCTTAGAGGGGGGGGGAAGGGTCAGTGGTTCCTGGTTCCGCAGCAGGCAATTGCCCAGGGGCTCCTGAGCCTGCTGCGGACACCCTTCTTTGGATTCCTGCCCCTATCATCTCTGTGGGGGGAATCAGTGGACAGACCCCCAGTGGTTGGGGAGGCGACGGTGGCCACACCTCCAGTGGTCCGGACAGCGACCGTGCTCACGCCTCCAGAGGTACTAGAGGTGGTACCAAAGGTGGCAGCAGGGGCCACACCTCCAGTGGTTCCGGAGGCGGTGGTGGCCGTATCTCGAGGGGGTTTCGGGAGAAGGCAGGAGCGGTCACGTCTCCAGCAGTTCCAGAGGCAACAGTGGTGGTTACTCCCCCCAACAGTTGCCGAGGACGTCATGCCACCAGTGGTCCCCTCTGCAGTTCCTGGTTCTGCAGCCGCCGTCCCCCTGATGAGTCTGGGGGATGAGTCTTGGCGTGCCTTGGTCTAGGAGGGGGACTCCTAGGCAGAGACACCAAGCAAAAGCACCACTGTACCTCTGGGTTAAAACACTGTGATCGTAGAGATTATTATCGTTTCCCGTGGTCCAAACGTGTTACTTATTCGCCTATTGGATTTTCAATTCCAGACTGAGAACGCATAATTTCAGAGTAGGCTTTGAGTTCTGTCAGGGTTTTAGTCAAATCACCATCAGGAGAAATATGAACAGGTGTCTTCCTGGTGGATCCATCCATATTCTGTTTGGACCGGAACCCTTCTGCAGAGACACTTAGTGTATTAGAAAGACGTTTATGGTGCTTTAGCCATACCAAACTTGCTACGAAGAAGCTAACGAAGAGCACAACATCAATCGTTGATACTACAATTCGACACGTTGATCCTCCGGCCATCATGGCGGACGTCTGCCGCTCCCCTAAACTGATGGGATGTGCTGTTTTCTTCACTGACGCAGCCGACGACTTGAGACGAGTAAGTCTATCCTACTTACTCCCCTTTGTAGTCAGACTTCCCCACACCAGGACAGGAAGACAGATCGTCCAAGTCTCGTACTCTCGCAGTGGCTCAGGTGGATCCAGGCGTTCCTTTCTGCAACCTTCACTGCAGTTGGCGTTGTTAGTATCACTTGGTATGGACCCTCCCACCTGGGGATCGACCAGCACTTTCTCTTTATGGCCTTCACAAACACCCAGTCACCAGGCTTCACTGGTCTCGTCTCCTGTGGAAGAGAAGTTGTCTTCAATGCTTCAGTGCTTCTTCAATTTGGGGTTTCTTTTTGTTAGCACCTTCTAGTCTTTTCTTTGCTTGCTCCAACCACTTTTTTGCCATCACTTGTTCATCACTTTCCTCCTTCCTTCCTTTTACTCTCGCCTTTAGAGTTAATCTGAAGACTAAATCTTCACATGCTTTTAACCGGTGGTTTTCCTTCAAACTTGTGCTTCTTTTTCCATTTAGTTAAATATTTTTGCCGACCCCGGATGATATCTTTCCATGTATTTACCATCCCCGTCTAATTCTATTTTTTTTTTTTTTTACAATATTGTGCGTTCCTGCGCTGTGCCCGGCTTTCATATACGGTCCGTCCGTTTTGGGCTGCACCTGCGTCACCACTCCCGTGCTCTCCCTCTTGTAGCTGAGCTAACATCCGCCGCGTCGTGTGTTTCATTTATTTACGTAAAATACGTCTTGTATTTCCATTATACAACTCTACTTTGCATATAATTGTTAAGGAAAGGGTAATAGAAATGATATGCTGAGTTAAGCTTAATTCCCGTTGTCACTGAGCAACTTTTTAAAATCCCAAAACCATTGCGTATTATGTTTAAACATTAGAAAGCAAAAAGGGCAACAACAACAAAACAAAAAAAAAACCCTTTCTACGAACTTGACGTTTAGTCATCTAATTTTTAACTCGAAATTGAAATCCCCTTTTCTTTCTTCACTGTTTTGTTTTTACACAAATTAATCGTCACACACGATATAGATTAGTTTCACAGTAGTTTGAGCTACAGACAGCAAGCGCCGGAGCTTTCGTCAGTGTTGTGAATGTGTATATTAATGTGCAGTTGTTGCATACAATTAGGGCACATAAGTTAATAATATCCAAATAAAAAAAAAATTACATTTCATTTCGAAGCGCAATTTTTTATTGTGTTATTTTTGTCTTTTTGTCATTTTTTTTACATAAAATCAATTGTGAGGGCGCGTTGGCGTTGAATCCGGAGACGTCGAATTGCTGTGGTCCTTCATATTTTACACCATTTGGTGAAGCCTGAAGACGGGTGTTAGTGCTCGTGGCTTCGTGTTGTTGTTTCGGAACACCTGGTATACTGAACGGGGAGGAGCGAGGCTTGGCTGCAGTTGGAACAGTTTACCCTCCCCGTTGTAGTCCACCACACACTATCACACAATCACTGACACTAGCAACAGCAACAACAGCAGCAGAGATCAAGCACAGGATTCAGAATAAGCAGAAGAAAAACGTACTCATCTGCTCTTTTGCTCGTCATCATGCTGGATTTTTTTTTCTTAAAAACGTACTCATCTGCTCTTTTGCTCCTCATCATGCTGGATTTTTTTTTTTTGCTTTTTTTTTAATTCACACCCGAATTCGCGCAAACGTCTGGTCAGAGCGAAGGAAATCAGCATATAGAAAATAAGACCTGAGAAAAACAACCCCAAAATAAAAACAAAACTTTTTTTTTAAACAACAGAAGTTCCAGAAGACCAGAAAAATGCCCCGGTCTTTCTTGGTGAAGACTAAAAGGGCATACAGTTACCACCAACCTCGACTGTTACAAGACGGCTTCAGCATACTGGATTCTTTTCTGGCGCAAATTTGCATAGGTATGCTCTTGAAAGACGAAGTTATTCCATTTACCACTGCCTACTTTAATTAAACTGCAAATGTAGAGATTTTATTTTTGAAAGGAAGAAAGAGTAATTCATTTCTTCTTCTTTTTTTTGTACATTAACTGTGTTATCTGTGGCAACATAACACAAACGTTCAGCTTTGTGATAGCCTTTAGTGTTTAGTGTTTTTAAAAATGTGTATAATAAATATAATAACAACAATAAAAATAACACGTAAATGATAACTCTCTATGTCTTGCGGTTAGTTATTGTTACGTCAGACAGTTCGTATTTAATGCTTGCGTTTAACTATTCATTTCACAAATAAAGTGTCTTTTTTTAAAAAAAAATAGCATAACTTTTTAAAGCATTTTATAGTAACGTCAGCATATTTTTTTCCTCTTTTTTTTTTACAATATTAACATTGTATTAGTCTCTATAGCGAATAATAACAAATAATCTGCTATTGTGTCGAATCTGACGCGAATCTTGAACAGAATGATAATATTGTAAATTGTACACAGATAGTTAACGCAAACGGAGTCGTTGGTGATAATGCAAACTGTGGTCTCACCATATACATAGAGGCCGAACACGTTCCACCAGACGTCGACATGAGACCGGGTCATTTCGGCCTCCCTTCGCGGCAGTCCCAGCCGAGCAGCCGCTCCGGTGTTCGCGCCCTTTCAACGGAGTGCGAGGATTTCTGGAGGCCGATGTCTGCATCACCCGGTACTAAGACACATACAATCAAACGCACCGGTCATTATACATTATACTGTTGAATGCTTTACGATACAATCTTAAAACCAATATTATCGCCTCAATATTACTTTATATATATATAAACATATATATATATATATATATATATAAAGTAATATTAATATTATTAACCATTAAATATAATACACTTTTAACAATTGCTGTCTATACAGTATATTTATATATGTGGTATTTATTAGTAGCTTCTGTTTTCATAAGGCTCAATCCCTATGTTAAAATACGATCATTTACCACATTTAAAACCAAAACAAAAAAAAAATTGCTCTCAAAACAATACATCGATTATATGTGAGCTACAGTGTAGTAATAATTTGAAAGCCTCGCTGTTTCTCCCTCGCTCTCTTTCTTTCTCCTCTCTCATTTAAAAGCAAATCCACCAGGTATATAAAACAAAATTTCGATTTATAACTTTTTTTTTTTATAACTTTGATTTTTTTTGGGTTTTGTTTTTGATTTTTTTTTTTTTTCGATGTCACAAACAGGATAACATAACATAACATATACCCATATTTTATTAGTCAATCATTTTCATTCTTTTTTTCCCTTCTCCAGCTGACAGTGAGAAGTCTTTGTCCCCTCTGGTAGACAACACTCAGTCCTTCAATGTGCCCTTTTGGAACCCTTGCATGGACAAATCTGTGAGCATGGCGCGTCCACCACTGGTGCAGCAGCAGTATCTCTTGAAGACAAGCCTAGCAAACAGGACTTTTTACTGTTCACCAGTAATAGAGCCACAAAGCAGAAGTCACCACCTGTTCTCCGTCGAACACCGGCTGCTGAAGAAGACGGAGGAGGTGGTGGTGTGCGGAGGCGATGACGAGCGATGCAGAAGGACACAGTGTTGCACCGATGCTACTGCTCTGCTGTTTCGTGACGGGGGCCGGCCTCAAACACCCAGACTCCAGGCCTCCACTCGTCTGCTGTCTCCCAGCCTTGTCCTGAGTGTCACATACAAATGCATCAAATGTAGCAAGGTGAGGACAAACGGGAAAGACGGATGGAAGAAGGGCTGTACACAAATGAACGCGTACACTCCATTCATTTTTGTGTTGCTGCAAGATATCGTATCGTGCATTGCTGGTGTGCCCTGAAGGAAAAGAAAATATGGACCGATGTGGACGTGGCTAGATTTGACATTAGCATTGGTATCTTGAAGCTCGGACTCGAGCCATTCACATACTAACAAATGTAATATGAGAATAATTGAGATGCATTATGAATCAGAACACGTGAACAAGCATCTACGAGCATTTTGCCATTTGCGGGTAGGAAAAAAAAAATCTTTCTTTTTTTTTTCTTTTCTGGAAGAAATCTCCAGCAGATTCAGACGATTCGGTGTTGCTCTGGGGGAGAAAATGGGGGAGAAAGCAGGGCAGGGCTCCAGATTGACCTTTTTTTAACCAACGTCCCAAAACATAAATTTGAACCATCCATGAAATGAATGCATGTTGACACTACTCGGATTAGGATTATTTGTCAATAATGGTATTTCTATTTAGTACAATTTATTTTAAACAGTATACAAAAAAATTACACTACCGGGAGCAGTAGTGGCTTGGTGGTTAAGGAAGCGGACTTGGGTCCGGAAAGGTTTTAGGTTCGAGTCCACAAGCTGCCACAAGTTGCAGCGCCGTGTTCTTATGATGATGATGCCAGCTTTCTGTTGATTGTTTTCACAGGCTTCCAGTAATATCAGCCTTGTGTACTACTCTGTGCAGGTGTCTCGTGCTGCATGAAGCTGCGCACCGCAGTGAGTGACCCAGGATGTGGTTAGTCTGAAGCCCTGCAGCAGGGAGAGAAGAAAAGAGGGGAGAAACACAACACAAATATTTACAGTGAAATGAAAAAAAAAAAAAATTATTTTGTCGTTTTGACACAGCACACCACTGCATAACGACGAAACGTGACCTCTGCTTTTAACCCATCTCCGCTTCCTTAACCACTAAGCCACCACTGCACCTCATGTAGTCACACGAGCTGTGCAAACAGTGCATGTTGTAGGAGGATAAGAGAGCAAAAATAACGGAGAGTTAAAAAAGGAGTTCCCCCAGCAGACTAGGCCTATAAAAGCATATCTAAGGGATAACCCAGGTTTAGCTCAGCCAAGCCGATCAAACATGAAGGTTTTATTCTAACCCATGGTTGTAGCTGGTTACAGGGGTAAGGAGCCTGTCTACTTTTGTACATTTTGATTATTTTTAAGGTCTCCGTTCGTTTTTCAATTTATCAATTTATAAGGTTGCCCATGTCGCTGACGACACGTTAATACTGTATTACTCTACCTCAGTGTTCCCCCAAACTTTTTTCTGGGGACCCATATTTTTAAAAGTCACAAACCTTCGTGAGTCAAGTCAATAGATTTTATTTAAAAGCAAAGTTAATGCAGTGGTTCCTCGTTAGCTAGGTTCCAAGGCCTGTCGCGAGAACTGAATTTCCGCAAAGTAGTGACATCATATTTATGTGGTATCTCAGTGGTAACTTGGCAGCTGGGGGGATTCGAACCTGCAACCTTCCGGACCCAAGTTCGCTTCCTTAACCACTAAGCCACCACTGCAGTTCTTGCTTCACTTTCAAGTTATTCTGTTTTTCCTTTTATGTAATAGAGTTATGGAAAATCCGTATGCCCTATCCTATCCTGAAAACATTTATAATATTTTCTGCACTTTTTTCATCCTTTGGCTGGGTTCGCTTCGACTTATACTCAGGGGCAACTTATATATTAAATATTAAATATTAAAATATATTATTTTTTATTATTTTCACACTGACATCCACGAAAGGGCACCCTAGGCTTGTGTACCAGTATTTGCTTTTCCTGTAAGTCGAATTTTTTTCATCCTTTGGCTGGTGCGAAAATACGTCCGGAAAATACGGTAGTTCATTTGGAAGGTTTTTCACAATCTTTTATAAGTAGTATTTTCAAACATTTTTAGAAAAATTATAGGTTATAGTAAAATGCATATACAACTTCATGTACCATACCATAGCCATATAGTGATAGTGACATATAGTGATGTTTTTCATACACAGATATGTAAATTAGTCAGGTAACGTACATATTCTTTGTCTTATTTAATCCCATTTTAGGTGTTTTCCACTCCTCACGGTTTGGAGGTTCATGTCCGCAGGGCCCACAGTGGGACCAGACCCTTCGCATGTGAAATATGTGGCAAAACCTTTGGTCACGGAGCCAGTCTAGAGCAACACAAAGCTGTGCACTCTCAGGTGAGAGGAACTCTCTGGCTTCTCTCTCTGTCCCCCTCTCTCTCTCTCTCTCAGTGGCAGTGCCAGGAAAGATAATTTCTTTGACAACATTCAGTCAAATTTGAAAAAAAAAAATGTTTGCAATTTGCTAATTGTAAGTCATCAGTTGCTGTTTTGGTGATCAATATGCAAAAAATTCTATTGGTCTCACGAAGGTCATTCGCCTGTGCCACAACTGATGCCAGGGCCCATGTGTCAAGCAAAGATTTGTTTTTTGCATCTAACAAATACTATAGACTTTTTTTTAAAAAAGAGAGATTAATTGGAAATGTTTTAGTCACATTCTACATCCTGAAAATGAAGATGAAAATAGGATCTATTAGGCTTGTCCAAAATGTTATGTTATGTTTTTTTTTTTTGTCATTTGCTTGTTTTTGCAGGACAGAAGTTTTGGCTGCAAAATCTGTGGCAAAAATTTCAAGAGGTCATCGACTCTTTCAACCCACCTATTAATCCACACCGACACGCGACCATACCCTTGTCAGTTCTGCGGCAAGAGGTTTCATCAAAAATCTGATATGAAGAAGCACACTTTCATTCACACAGGTAAGAAAATTGTTGAAAAAGCGTAGAAAACTCCAAACAAAACAATATGCCAAAAAAAAAAAAAAAAAAAAGAAATTGACACATCCCCTCAGGATGAAGTTAATGGCAACCGACTCAGTGATTTATACTACAGGTTTCGCCATTTGCCTACTGTAGGAAAGGCTGTCCAGTAAGAGTAACGGGTAATTTAATCTGGATGGAATCTAATCTAAGGTACAGTTAGAGAAACGGCAGAAAAGGAGCGATAGATTAGAACGTCAGGAATAGGTTAAGAAAAAACGAAAACATCACGTTGCCATCAAAGTACGAAAATTTCAGTAACTAATGATAACTAATTACACTAAGGCATAAGGAGTATAATCCAGGCATGGTCAAACTAAGGCTCGCGGGACGAGAGGATGCCTGTTCGGCTTTTTAATCGGGCCCGCCAAACAATTCCAAATTATCTGATTTATTTATATTATCATTATACTTCTGCCTTTTTTTTTTTTACATTTATTAAATAATTATAAATTGTAATAATGAAATGAAAAATAGTTTTCTTTTTGTCTCCGTCTTTGTTTCAAATCCAGGTGAAAAACCTCACAAATGTAAGGTGTGCGGCAAGGCCTTCAGTCAGAGCTCTAACCTCATCACACACAGCAGGAAACACACCGGCTACAAGCCGTTTGGATGTGACCTTTGCAGTAAAGGATTTCAAAGGAAGGTGGATCTGAGGAGACACAAGGAGACACAGCACGGACTCAAATAAAACATAAAGATGCAACCAATCCATCCGAGGTGATGTAAGGACACAGAAGGAGTATGGAGAAAAACAAAACAAAAATAAGACCGAACTGTAAATAACTTGATATAATTGTCAATGTGCATCGAGTTTGTGTGCAGAGTAGGGGTCCATTTCCCTGAATATATTTGTGGACACAAGTGACGTAAAGTAACAATTTGATAAAGTCCACGATTCCTGTTGTGAGTCACAACATAACCGACTGAATAAAGGTGGCTCCGCTTCAGAAATAAAACTGTGACAGTTCGTTTGTGTCAACCCCAAAATAACTGCTGCTGAAATATGGACAAAAAAAAAACAGCCTATTTTTTTTGTTTTTGTTTGTATATTTATTTAAAAAAAAAAATGTCACAAATAGAAAAAAAAATTCATCCTAGTGAATTTTTTTTTTTTTTGTGAGTAAGTGATGCCATTGTTTTGCCTGTAAGTGGATATACACGTGCACGGTGTGATTGTGAGTGTACCTCCAGGCTGCTGTCTGTTTTGCCCTTTGCATAACACATAACATGTTTGCAGTATCAACAGCGTTAGCTAATTTACCGTTAACCAAATGCTTTTTACCCTCATGCCTGATATTTAAAAACAGCAGAGTCAAAGTGAGTGAGAGCAACTGCTTGCATTTATCTACAGCCAAAACATCATGACCACATAGGTTAATAATGACAAAAAAAAAAAAAAAAAAAAAAGATTTATCTTTTCATTGATACCACTGTGAGAGGGCTGGGTACATAAGGCAGTTGGGTAAAAAAAAAAAAGGATCAAATTGTCTTGGGTTAGAGGACGGGATCAGGGCATTTGTAATTTGTGCAGTGGAGGCTGAAAAAAAAGTCCAAGAACAGGTTTATCGGTAGCAAAGGTCAGCAAAGGTTTGACTTGGTTCTGAATAGTGCATTGTGGTTTCTGTGTGGAGCCACTAAGCTGCAAGAGGCAGGACAGGGTCCCATACTTTCTTCTCTCTGTTGCACAGCATTTCTTACCAGTTACTTGCTGTTTCAAAACAGCGGTTCATATTGAGTGTCACAGTTGTTTTTGTTTTTTTTTGTGATACCTTGAGATGTTATGAAACATGACATTGTTTGATTAAAAATGGCTGGTGAGTGAGTGAGTCACCCCATCTAGGATTGTGTACAGTGCGGTGAATGTTCTTGAACATGCAAGCAACAAAACAGTGTTTTTACAAGTTTGTTACAAGGTAAAAAGTAACCTGTCTGAATGATTACGTCATCTACAGCAGGGGTCCCCAACCCTTGGTCCGGGGACCAGTGCCAGTCCGTACGTCATTTGGTTCCGGGCAACAGTTGGACACCATGAAAAAAAAAAAACACTCAAATATAAATACTAATTTACTTTGTGTGAAATTTAATTTAAGTTGCGTGAACGACTACTAAACGCCTGCACTGATGAACTAGATCCTGGGCAAGATTGAATCCCAGTTAGGACGGTTGGTACCTTCCAGTGGACTCACCACCCACAGGAAGGTTTAAGGGGGGTTGGTACAGCGCAGTGTGATTGGCAGTCATAGAGACTGTTGCCCCTGCGACCCGGTAACGGATAAGCAGATGGATGGATGGAGTTTGGGCGTTGTTTTTTTTTTCTTTAAAATTCATCAAGCGGGCCGGATTGAATCCACTAATGGGCCAGGTTTGACCCGCGGGCCGTATCTTTGACACCCCTGGTCTAGATCTTGTTATTCCTGACAGTAGTTTTTCTGACTCCACGGGTCTGTGTTCATCACAGAAACGAATGAAAGTTCTTTCAGAAGTGGACGTTGCTCTGCTACAACAAGAGGTTCTCCAGTCCTTCTATTCTTCTTACAGTTTGTAAGAAGAATAGTCCTTATATATATATATATATATATATATATGTGTGTATATTATATATACATATTCTGGTTATATTACATTTTATATGGGTTACGCTTATTTTTTTATTATTGTATCACTAGGTAGCACAGTTTATTTTTTAATATTGTAAATATCATTTTCACCAGCTTGTCATTTGTAAAAAGTCTGTTGATTACTGCTGTGGCGCTCCCAGGAACTGGAGAAAAAAATTCACGTTTCGCAAAATATGCTCCAATTCTGTCATTGTCTAATCATCCATTTTGGCAACAGTTACTATGCAAACAAGGTAAACGAGGTCCTTCAAGATGGAAGACTTTTGACAAACAAAATGGTGTAGCCATGTGACTAGAAGTAGCATTGGTTTTTTGTTTTGTGAACAGGATAGTACTTTATTCGTTCTCCAAAGGAAATTATTCAGTCGACCCCGCAAAAAAGTGCCGAGAAGAGTTCATCTCTGTTTCTGTGTTCCGCCGATAACTCACTGAAAAAAATCCCTGGCAACCACAGCTGTCAGTTATTTCTTCATTAAAATCTTTTTTTTTTTTTTTACACATTACTCACTTCATTCAAAACTATAGCATAGATTACAAGACCACTGTTAATGTGCAGTCCTGTTCGAGTGCGACGTTACATTCATTTGAACACTTCTGAGCTGTTTAATCCGTACAAAAAGGCACTTGTTCTGAATGTTATTGTGTCATATAGTTGTATCATGAAGGAAACAAACCCATCCAGAATATGGCTGTGAAACACTGTAAAAAATTCATAAGATCCATTTCACAATTGACCAAGCCGAGCAGGCGAGCGCATGTGACAAGCTGAGATCTATAAGAGGAGTACTGAAGCTAGAGGAAAGGAACAAAATGACAAAGATTTATCCTCAGCAACGATGAAATATTTATGCCGAGGCGTTCGCGTAAAGTTACTTTTTATGTACTGATTTAATGAATGATTTGAGAAGTGGCAGTTGCTGTGAGGCATGCATGCTGGGTTTGCTCAAGCGTGCACTAAGTCCCATTCAGGGGGTCTGTGTGGTCATGTGTCAACACGGAGCACGATCAAACCAGAGTGAAAGGGAATCCAGGTCTAGGAGGGTAAGTACATCCAGTACAAAAAAAAATAAATAAAAATCTTTTTTTTCTTTTAAAAATGTCAGTGAGTCTTTTACTGGTCATGAAACCGACAAATAATTGTATTACGCTACTTTTATTTTTTTAAATCATTTGTGAGTCAGTAGTGCTTTGGTTGCAATATAT